GAGCTCTAGCTAGTCCGGCACCTTTGTTGCATAATTGGTATCTTAGCAAGGTGCTAGTGAACATATATAGAGGGGTGTAGTCTTAGCTACACCGATTGTTTTAATTCCGCATTTATATCGGTTAGCCGACGCGATTAATTTTAGAAAAGACTATTCACCCCCCCTCTAGTCCGCCATCTCGACCCTTTCACGCTCCGACGAAATCATGGCGACGACAATGCGAAACGCGCCTTTACCCTGGCTCAGCAAGTGGGGCTAGCGGGTCGGGGTGGATGAGGTGACGATGGCAGAGCTGCTGGTGAGCTGGATTGGGTAGTGGTGCATCGACGACGGTGCTATGCGGTGGTGAAGCAGGCGGCGACAATAGCGAGCTCGGCGTTTCGCTTCGGCAAGGCAGAGCGAGAGGGAGAAAGTGCGAGCAGGTGAGTGGAGTGATCAGCAGTGGCGCGGCGCCTTTGTGCACGCTTCGACCAGACCGACCGGGCCATCACCGGTGTATGTCTGCCACACGATGGCCATGGCCTGTGGCCGGTCGGCCATAGACGCGCGCATGGACGCAGCCATCAGAGCCGATGACAGCGCCTGACAACGCGATTTTGCGATTGTCTAGCTCCAAATCCGTGGTAATTCGGCGAAAACCATAATAATCAAAGTTGTAGAGCTACATATGATCTACAATTTTGCTTAAATGAGTTCAGTCTAGATCAACCTAGTTTACAAACTACAGCACATCAAACATAGGTACATTGAAACTGTAAACCACTTCCAGACACAAAATTTTCAAACTCAAAAATAATAATTCTATTGCTACTTGTGAGCTGTTTTAGAGCATGCTATGCACTGAATTAGGTCTTGACCCAAAAATAAAAGTTGTTACTCTTGTCAAGTACAACAACTTTACTTAAGGGTGCACAACCATGCAACCACTCTAGGGTAAAGTTCAACTTAGGTCAAATATATAACTTGAAAATGATAACTTACACTATAACCATGACTTAGAGGCCAAATTGGTCCAAGTTATGAATACCAAAGTTGTTCCATGTGACATTCTAAACATGTTTAAGGTACCCCTAAGGTCCCACAAACATTTTATATATTGGTCACATGTAAACCCTAGCATATGTAAAGCATTTAGTGACAACACATGTGATATAAGCAATCATAGAGATAAAATTTGAGATGCTCATGCTCATGAATGATCAATGATGCTTGTGCTCGTGCAATGCCAATGCCAAATGTATGCTTAACACCAGGGTGTTATAAATGGCTACACAAATTTGGTGAGAGTAGGGTGAATGAGCAAGCAGGTGCTGCACGAGAAGTTGAAGTATGGTCCAAATAGTGGAAACTGAATGTTCTAGCAAAGAAAAAATTTGGCTGCTGAGTTTTGCATGGCCTGTTACCGTGCAGGTGTAGACACCTGTGGGTGCACACAGAAAGAATCCGTAAACGCACGGATATAGTAGTAGCTTTTCACCTAGAGTATTGCAAGTATCGTATCCACAGAGAAATGTGTGAGACTAACTACTGTCTAACTTAACTAGAGATAGCAATAAGGTGAGGATAAATAGGAGTGTAGAGAGGATTTCTATGGTTTCCAACTTCCAATCTAAGTTAGCATTGTATTCAGTGTTCACCAAGGGACATTAATCGAGAATAGTATATCAAAATATACTTCTTTCGTCACAACTAGGTCCTACTAGTCCTACAGTCGGGAGATGGATTATAATGGACCAACGCGACTGTCACCCACGCGGCCTACCACATGTTCTAGAATATAGGGTGCATCCATAAGTAACCAAGAGTCTAAGAACCACGCTTACACTAACGAATACTACTTTAATCCTTCTTGCTAGGATAAAAGCACTCAAACGAGTTGTGATCCTGATAAACACCAAAGAACAAAACTACTTTAAATTTGAAATCAATTACCAGAGTTATCTCGCAATGCATGCTCAAAGAACCTAGATCCACCAAGGTACAGGTCATAGAAGTAGCACCAACAAACCCGACACTTCCTCCAAACACTTCCCTTACTCTCTAACTCACTATTTTCTATGCACAAAGAATAGATCCTATAGAGGACTAGTCTTCTTTTGAATTGTGATCTATGATCCTAGAGGGATAAGGATGGCCTCCTAGAGGGGGTTAGGGGGTCCTTTTATTGGGGTAGATGGAGTAGAGAGCAAGCCAGTGCCACGTCATCGATCCATGTCAACTCCCTCGACCACAGTTGGATAAACTGACCTCAAACCGCCTTATAATCAATGGTGCAGATCTTAGAGACGTGTACGAGGCAGCGGAGGTTGTGGGGCCACTAGGGTAGGTCGGCCGACCCCCTCCTCATGGCAGGCGGGCCTCCCTTCTGGCAGGTGGGTACATACTCTGTCTTGAGTGGGGTTTCACATGATTGCACATTTGTTGATGTCAGTTTATATACTTGATGTGTATGACAATGGGCCCGTTGATCCTGTGAAGTAAACCAAAATCCTTGGAAGCTTCTAATTGGCTCCCTTTGGTTCATTTTCTATATAATCAACTTGCATACAAATATTCACCAAAAGACTTGTGGAATTCGTTAGTTCAAAACCTCTAAACCTATCTTGATGTTTGGTTTTAAGGATAAATGGAGGTAAAGTTGACAGTTTATAGTTGATGTTAGCGACTGTGAGCAGCAGGGGCATCCTTGCAAACCGGCATATATATTGAAAGTTCAGGGAGCTGCCTAGCTTGCATGAGGGGTGTGAGGACCCAAAACACCTTATGTTATTACATAAGCGAGCACATGACATATGTCAAAAAAATTAGTGTTTGGCAAGAGATTCAGAAAATACATAGCAGTGGATCGATCGGGATCAATAGTGATGGCAGAGCTAATCGAGACCACTGGGTCACTTGAACCATTTGGGGGATATTGGTCGAACTAATATATAATAGGAGGCTGGTATGTGTGGTGGAAACAAAGAAAATTTGCTCACGGTGAGGCCATTCAATCCCAAATGAGAACTGCTTTATCGATTGTGACCCTGACAACAAATTATCAAAGAGCTTTGAAGAAGAATGCTAAACATGTAGAAGGGTGGAAGAAGCCACCAGAGGAAACATTGCTTTTTAACATAAATGTCGGCTACAAACCAAAGAGGGGTGATGGTGGTACCAAAGGGATCATCAGAGACTTTGCTGGTACATTTATAGCTACATCATATAGTTATCTTGATCACGTCGTGGATGCCCCAATAGCGAAGGTTTATGCTATAAGAGAAGGGCTTCTGTTAGCCCAGCATATTGGCTGCAATCGGCTCAATATTCAGTCCGACTGTTTGGAGGTGATGGAAATAATGAAGCAGGGAGGTTATTCAGCAACAGCTGGTGCACCAATATATGATGAATGTATGGTGCTTTGGCAGGATTTTAATTCAATTTTCATAGATCATTGTAATAGGGATATCAACATAGAGCGCATAATTTATAGCAAGTTTAGCCATTTAGTCAAAGAGTTCTTGTATTTGGGTTGATGAACCCCTAGCTTCACTATTGAAGCCTTGGTGAACGATGTAACCTTGTTTTCGAATCAATAAAGTGTGCTAGACTGCTTCCCTAAAAAACCATCAAGCTTCAATGAGAACCTTCCACGGTACCAATCATCCTTCATCGCATGAATATTTTTAAGTTGTAAAACACTATAATTGACATTGTTTTTTTTATTATGAACATTTAAGTTTTGGCAAATTGCATGCAACATACTTTTGTGCTCAAAACCTCCTCAAGCAAGAACCATTTAATGACATTTTTAGTCTAATACTTGCATGTCTTCTACTCGGAAGAATGCTTTATAGGCCAGGAGGTCCAACTGAAACTTTGCTTCTATTTAACATGGCTATTTCACAAGTTAGTTAATGCAAGTCCACGCTATTTGTGTTTGATGATTTGGAAAGTAACTAACCAATTATTTGATACAGACTAGGGATGGATTTGATCATAAAAGTGCTGAATTCTTTATTTAAGGAGAAGTTGCTGAAGATGTTGCACAAGTTTTTGTGCCTCTCGTAGTGAACATTATGTCACTCAACGGAAAAGAGAGGTGTTCTTTAGAATTTAACCATTATTGTTTTATTCACATTTACTATAAGTATTGACCATTGTAGAAAACACATACTCAATATCAAAGGATATGATCCCACTCTCGCAGATTCTAAAAGAAACTTGTGCTTTTGATCCTAAAATGGTTTTAGTACATGCCATAGTTGTATGGTAACTCCAACTCCAGTCTACTTCTTTTTCTATCTGAATCTTCACTTATTATTTAATGTTCCTTGTGGTAGAACCTGTCTACCCGGGTTCAAGTCCTCGACTTGGCACGGATGCTCGCATTTTTTTGAATTTATTCCAGGATTTAACGGCGCTATGATTTCAGTGGTAGACGATGTCCCCGTTGACAGCGAGGCGTCAATGGTGACTTCGTGAATTTCGAGATCTGTCGGCTCAGTCATTTGGAGGTGAGTGTGCGTGCGTATTGTGGGCGTCTGCGTTATACTGTGTAATTCTAAAAAAAACCCGATAACCTTCTATCATTGCCACTGTTAATCTATTCTGATAATTAAATTGCAAAGAAAGAGCGGGTATAGAGATAATAAAATCTAGAAAAAAAAACCCCATATGATTCACCTAAACCCATAATTCTTCCCTAACTTCCCTACCAAACAAAAGAAATAAAAGAGTCAACCAAAAGAAAAGAAAAAAAAAAAAGGGGGGGGGGGGGGAAACCCCTACCATCGCCCTTCTGTATTGCTCACCAGACCCCAGCAGCCCCTCCTCCCCGGTCGCGGAGTTGTCGTTCTCGTCTTCGGTACTCGCGCGCGCCAGCTCACTTCCCTCCTCCTCCCTTTCCCTTCCCCAGATCTTCCTCCATCCCTCCCTCGGAATCCCAGATCTCTCTCGGCTCCGTGCCCAGCGCTCCGAAACCCTTGCGCCGCCGCGGGTGCCAGGCCGCGAGCGTCGCCATGGGCATCGTGTTCACGCGGCTCTTCTCGTCGGTCTTCGGCAACCGCGAGGCTCGCATCCTCGTCCTCGGCCTGGACAATGCCGGCAAGACCACCATACTCTGTAAGTCGCACCCACCCGTTCCGTCACCTCTCCCTCCTCGAATCTCCGCAGGCCCACCGCGGATCTGAGGGTTCCCGGTTCTGATCCTTCAGTGTGGTTTTGGTTCGTTTCACAGATAGGCTGCAGATGGGAGAGGTCGTCTCCACGATCCCAAGTGAGTTCTGATTTACCGACTCGTCATTCCTGTTGCTGGTTGGAGTTGTTGTTGATTTGATGTGATGCCTTGTGTGTGTTGTTGCAGCAATCGGGTTCAACGTGGAGACGGTGCAGTACAACAACATCAAGTTCCAAGTATGGGATCTCGGTGAGTTGCTCGGGTCTCGCCGCTCTCTTTTGCATTCTGATTGATGATCGACTGTTTGGATACACAGAGCAATCATAAGTGCAACTCGAACCAAAACTTAGAGACTATTATGTGAGAAGGGCAATTGAAATTCAGCAAGAGTGAGCTACAAAAAGTGCTGATTCTGTGAAAGATAATTGAAATGGCACTTCATTCTGTATGCTTTAATCGAAAGCCTGTGCACAAGTAGTCATCTCCATCTAATAGTGTCTGTTTTGTTATCTCGGTGTAGAATCATCAACTCAAGTGCCACTTTGCCTAGCATTTTTAATGGGCCATCAATGGATCCCAGCCTTCCCTGCTTGTTTGCTTCCTTCTGTTTGTGCCACCCAAGTTAGCATGATATTTCATGTAAGATCGACTACCTAGATACAAGTGCGATACATGTTGAGCCATTTTGTTTTAATGTTTTATGAGGACCCACTATTTTTATGTCTTCTTTTGTCAGATGCTTCAATCATTATGTTTCACTCCTTATCCATGTTGGGTTTGTTTTAGGGGAAAATAGGGTGTTTAAATTTCAGAACTCTGTAACACGGATACGTCAATGAGGGGCCGTATCGCGTATCGGATATGTGATACGCCTCCGATACGTATCCTCCAAGTATCCCATTTTTATTTAATTTTTGGAATATTGAGTACGTGACCGGATACGTATCCACCTCTGGGATACGGCCCAGCCCAACAAACGCTCCTTATCTCCCCGAGTCCCCATCGCGACGCTTCGCATGGTCGCAACTCGCGCCGCCACCTGTGCACACGCGCGCCGCCACCTGCACAGGGGTTGCGCCCCACTCGTCGACCGCCGGCGACGAGCCTCCACCCCCTCCGTGCCATCAATCAACTTCTCCTCCACCTCCAAACTGCCGCGCTGATGAGCACCTACCAGTCCGCCATAGCCACGGCCAGCATCGCCGCCTCCTACGCAAGGCATGCACCACCGCTCGCCGGCCGCCGCCGCCGAGCCTCCGCCCCGTCTGAGGCATCATTTGACTTCTCCCCTCCTCCAAACTGCCGCACTGGGGAGCACCCACCAGTCCGCCATGGCCGCAGCCAGCTCCCGCAATGCAGGGGAGAGATGCAGGGGAGAGGACGATTCAACAACAAAGCAAGCTCCTGGCGACATCCCATGAGTACATCCCCTTCCCCATTCTTGATCTACTCAGCTGCAGTTCTTGTTGCTTGGTTTTGTTTGTACCCAACCTGATTAGTTTTGGCCATGCTTGATTGCTTGCATGCAGTAGATGACCTCTCCAAATTTGGGTCCTAGCATCGGGTCTGTGGCCACCGGCCACAACCACAACATACGATAGGGGGGCTCTCTATTCCTGACTTCTTGTGTTCTAGAATTTTAGTAATTGCGGATTCATCCAGTATGGTTGGACTTGGGTCATCTGTGAAAACAAGAAACCTACAAGGTAATCTGGTGATGTATATATCACGTATGATTGCATGTAGAGTACTGAACTAATGATTAATTGATTAGTGATTACTCAAGTTATAGACTTTCAGAATTTTAATTTACATTATTACTTATTTATTAAAAAAAATGTAAAACGTATCCGCGTATTGTGTTTTCTGGGAAATTGCCGTATCCGTATCCGTATCCTTCCGATACCGATACGCGTATCTGTATCCGTGCTGCATAGTTTCAGAATGTCTATGCTATGGTGCTTGCTTACTTTAATCCAGTGAACTTTAGCATTTTTCTAGTGTCATTACCATAATAACCAGGGTTGGAGCTTCCTTAGGGCCTACAGTAGCCATGGCCCTTGTCATTTGAGCAACTCCATAGAAAAAGTAGCAGTACTTTAAGCTACATCACTAATTTATGCTTGTAAATACCCTATTGGAAGTGCTTAATTCATCTTTGAATCATTGCTGCACCCAACCCCCCTACTAACTTTGGTGGCAAGCTTTGCCACTGCATGTAACACTATGGCCCTGTTTGACACAACTTATTTGCAGTTTTTTAAGCTGCTTCACTTCCCAAACGTTATGCAAAGTTATTTTGGAGTTTTATATGAATACTACGGTTTTACAGAATACCTAGGTATTAAGAAGGAAGGACGTGTTTGGATAGAATAAACTTTGAAGTTTTAGAAACCGCTGTATTTATAAAACTACAGTATTTTTGGAGTTTTGGAAACTCCACCTGGACCCTCTTTTTTCTTGACAGAGCTTGGTGCTCGGCATGTGTACGCACAGATACATGCTATTTTTACAAGCAAGGACAGAACCAACGAATTTTTAAAAGCAACGTACTGCTACGTAGCCAAACATGTCATGGCTTTTCTGAAACAGAGAAAAACTCTAGTTTATAAATACTATAGTATTAGATGGCTACCGTTTTTAAAACTGTGGTTTCCCAATACTACAGTTTGAGGAAACAGGAACACCCAAATGGGGCCTAAGCTTTTTTTTCGGACTTCTAGGGGAAGTGCTTCTACGGATTGAACTAGAGGCCCATAAGCTGGAAGTGAACCAGGGGTTTTTTCCACCGCAGCCAGCTTCTACCTCCTGTCCATTTCTTTTGCTGCTCCACAGCTGTTCCATCTCCACCAGCGCTGCTCCCTCCCAGCTCCACGGCTCGAAAGTGAACGATCGATGATGTCAGACAGGCCGCTGCTCCTGTGCCCGGTGGTGTGCTGGTGGATAGCCCCAATATGCTCCATGCTTTGCGTCACCGGCTGGCTTGGTGGAGCTGAACAGGGCCGCTCTAGTCTTTCGGAAATATCCACAATGAGGGAGTTGGGGAGGTGAAGCCGCGGCCAAGTAGGTTTGCTGCCTTTGGTTTGGCAGCCACTGCTGGCCATTTACCACAGCTAGCATTGGCCTTGGGTCTGTGATCTGGAAGGATGTCCTGTGTATAGTTGGTGCAGTCGATGAGCTTGGATGCATTAGTGCTACAGCTCAACAATCCCTGACGAGCTTGGTGAGCTTGAAGGACGGGGGCCTTGAGCTTGGAGGAGGGTGTGGATGCGTGAAAGCTCAAAGGAGATGGGGATGGGCTGGACCCATGGTTGCCTCCTGCCGGATCGGAGGTGAGGAGATCAGAAGTAAATGGGATGTGGTCAGGTGGAAAAAGTGGCGAAAGGGCCTCTAGCTGAGCTGGTTAGGTGGCTTGAGTAACACTTCCCAGGTCCTGGGTTCAACTCCCCGTGGGAGTGAAATTTTTTGCATTGTACAACTGTAGTGTGTATACTACTTGTTCAACTGCAAATTTGAAGTCACAGCTAACTTTTCAGCGCCATCACTTTAATCTTGTTGGTACTTGTATTGTTTTTTGGTCCTTCAAAATATCCATCTTTCAGTATTAACACCAACTTTCTTCTCAACAGGTGGTCAAACAAGCATCAGGTACTGGCTCTTCATCATCATATTAAACTCGACTGTCATTTATGAAGCAAATAGTATATTCCATTTATTTAATTATCGATTGAAAAACAGTTCCAACAGAGGTATTCTACTACTACCTTTTTGTTAATTATATTAAGTAATTGGTGGAGATACTACTGTCTTAGTACCCTGGCACTTCAGTTTCCACAAGCTAAATCATCAGGCTGGAAGAACAGATATGTTTAATAAAGAAAAGGATTTTTCTTTTTCCCATTGCGGGACAAGCCTGAATTTCATCAATATGCAACGAATTAGAAAGGTTCCTCATTGCAGTGTTTAATGTCTCCCAAACCATGTAAAGATCAAGCTTTTTCTAATATAGAATTGTAAAGATTGGATCATGCTGAAAATATCTTAATCTAGCTGTTTTTTATATGGAAGCCTGGCCTAGGCCTGTATAATGTACATCGTGCCTGTCTTGGATGTAATCTTTTAGGTTGATCCTTGCCAACATGGACATGAAAAAGGACTCGACCATGGGGAGAGATATGCCCCTGGTGTTCCCCTTAAGTAAAAGCTAGACAAAGATAGGAAGAATTAGGCAGCTTTATGTTAATAAGAAATAGGCACCCAATTTCACCAAAACGAGGACTCATTGGTGGCCTGGACCCAAGTCCACACCCTCAACCAGTTGATCTAGGCTGTCACTCTATGATCCAAGAGTTGTTATGGTTTGGCCTTGGATCATTTCATAATTTGGTGGCACAATATATATGACATATTCATGCATAGCGGAGTGGTACACAATGAAAAATAGTCCAGATGGAGTGCATCCAACTGATCTTTAAAATGTGGTGTAGTTGAATCCTAGTAACTCTAGTGGAACTAGTTTATGGAGATGGTCTAAAATGTGAACAAGATATGATAGTCTATACGGTGCCACGTCTAGATGCTTTTGTAACATATCCTCAGTTGCTGATATTTTGTTTCTGTATTCCTTTCCACGTGAGCACTGTTTTAGGGGAAAAACATGAGGGCATTTCAAGTATTGTACTAGTCGTATAAGAACTTTTCCTTTTTATACTTGTGTAAGTGTTGGAATGGTCCTTTATGACATAGAGCATGAATTTTCTTGAATCCTAAGACTTTTTGGATTTCTTAGATAAGACTAACATGTCAACTGGTTTGGTTTTTCATTGGCCTTCCTGTGCTTTTGAATATCAGAACTAGAATCGTTACTTTTAGCATGATGCATTTATTTTTTCCATGAACTAATACATTTAATATCCCATCAATATCTTTGTCATGTGTGCATTTTCAGGCCATATTGGCGGTGCTACTTTCCAAACACCCAGGCTATCATATATGTTGTTGATTCAAGTGATACAGATAGGCTTGTAACAGCAAAAGAAGAATTCCATGCCATCCTTGAGGTAATGCTCCACCATCATGAGATCCTCGTTTACACCAAACAATCTGAGATACTTTTCCTGGCCTTGTTGGACCTAGATTTAACATTTCTTGCCAATTTCTGAGAAGAAATGAAAATATTAAAACATTTCATTAAAGGAAAGAATGATTATTCATGCTGATTGAATACTGTAGTATGTGATTCGCTGATTATTTTGCAATGAATAAGTTGATGAGGGCCATATGCATGATATTATGGAATGCATTTCAAGGCGGTGTTGCTTGATATTATGGAATGCATGATTCCTGTTGATATATCTGATATGTGTTTGACTCTGGTAGTGGTATGGGATAGGTGGAGCATGAGTGGTTACAAGATTTTACTGTTTGATTGTATCACTGGGTAATGCTCCCTCCTTTCCAAATTGTGAGTTGTTCTGACTTTTCTATAAAACCCAGAACGACTCACATTGGAACTGAGGGAGTATCATATCTAGAAAATTCTACTTCTAGTTTTGAACGGCATTGATATGTTTGTAAATAAATATTTTGACATTTGGAACTTAGAAATATTAGCTAGGGTGCATATGCCTTTAAGTCTCACTTGTTGCAGAACTACAATCTGAATTTCTTTTACTGAATGGCTATTTTTTTCTCCGAATAAGGAAGTCTAGTAAGCACGGGGTGCCCTTAAATCTGTTACATTTACTGATTTGATGCATGCCTTTACATGGCAGGAGGACGAGCTTAAAGGTGCAGTTGTCCTTGTATATGCAAATAAGCAGGTAAAAAGAAGAATTTTGAAATTCTCATACTGTTGTGGATTTGGCATTTTCCATGATTATCAGAATTAAGCTTCATGTTTATATTTCTGTGCATTTAATCACATGAATGTTGACGTAGGCATCAGCAGTCTTAAATGCCTCAAATGCTGATATTTTCACTTGTCCTGTACTACTTTCGATATAAAGTGTACTCTAATTTGGTAATATAGTTATCTTTTCCCTACTACACAAGCTCCCTGCTTTAAGATAGGTGTATATGAAGTGTAATTGTAATGTTTGTTTCAAGGGTTCGTCTCCTTCATAAATCATTTGCTGGAACCATTGGTCTATCCAAATAGCTTGCACCTCTTGTCAAATGATTCAGCATGGTGTACTCATTTCCAGAAGACGCTTTTAACTTGTGCCTTATGTTACTTGTATCCTGTAGGCTGTAGCTCTACTGTATCTCTTGGTTTTTTGCATTTTATCTGACATGCCAGTTCTTTTCATGCAGGATCTTCCAGGCGCACTCGATGATGCTGCCATTACAGAGTCATTAGAACTGCACAAGATTAAGAGCCGCCAATGGGCGATTTTCAAAACATCTGCAATAAAAGGAGAGGGGCTCTTCGAAGGTTTGGACTGGTAAGTGGGGTCAAAATTTCATGTCCTACGGGATGTTTCTGCATGGCAAAATGGCAAGATATGACCACAAGTGAATGAATGTCTTTAATAAATCATTTGTATCACCAATTAAAATAGTTCTTCCTGCGTTATCAAGTAGTGGCTGTACTGTCCATGTCCTATTACCAGGCTGCAGTTCTATCTATTAATTAATTACAAAAGAACATGCTTATGTATTTACTTGTTGATTGAGACACGTGGAGGCATTATTGGAGGAAGCAACTTATGGTGGTTGGCTATTATTGCAGGCTCAGTAACACACTCAAATCTGGAAGCAGCTAATTAGGAGCCTCTATCTCCATGTCATGAATCATTTGCTAGATGGTAAAGAATAGAGTCGATGCTGCCCATTTCCTTGCAAGTCAGCCGCCCAAATCCCATTCTCTTTGTTTTAACTCCAGAAGTTCTACACCCCGCCATCTGTAAAGTGCTTGTTAAAGTTTTTTGGATACTACATTAGATGTACCCTCATATTGAGATCAAGAATAGGTCTGTAGAAAATTATGAGCAAACTGTGCCAGTATCTTTACCCGTAAATGTCATGGATTGTGACATGTTTTTTCCCCAATGATTAAGCGTACCACATTTCTACCTTGTCTTATCAGTGACCAGATGCACGGCATTTGTACCTTTAATTTTCTTAAGCATCTTTTGCCAACGCTTTTACATTTTTTTTAGTCTCTGCTACCACTTTTTTGAAGTACGGCAGATGGATCATTACAGAACTGTTGCAAGATGTCGCAATGCAAGTTTATTTGACACCTGTGGTTACTCATTTGTGAAGAACTTTGTACTGGAATTGATATACAATTATAAAATAATCTTAAGTCTAAGTTTTAAAAGTACTTTTGGGGTGGTGGGGGGGAGGAGGAGGATGCGAGGAGTGTGAAATTTTGAAAAAAAAAATCTATATTCTCCTCTTGTTTGGATGCATGTGTATTCACCTCAATTCACGTAGGTTGGAGTGGAATGTAATGGAATTTAGTTAATTCCACTTCAACATGTGTGGATCGAGACGAATACATGCGCATCCAAATAAGGCCTTAAGGAAGAGTAGTATTGTATTTCCGGGGGGCGGATTGAGTACTTTCTCTATCCAAAAATAAGTGCATATCTCGCTTATTATATGAGTAGAAAATAATATCTATTTTGTATCTTTTCCAAATTAATTTGATCAAGTTTTAAAGTTTGACTGTTTGAGTACTCCGTACTTTGGAGGGAGTAGTTGTTTTCATGATTGATCCTTCCGGTGGCAGGAAAAGATTTGCATGTAGGCCCGGGCGTCCAGTCTGGCCAATAGCACGATAGATCGCACAAACCAGCTCCGCCTGATGAGACAAAGAGGCCTGCGAATTGACGTCAGCAGGGACGTCACCTGAAAGCAAAGGTTTGTTGCGCTGAACGGGCAAGTCTTGCCTGTAGAGGTAGACTGTAGTTTTGCACCACGGACGACTGTTCAACCGTCGTCTCACGTCAGTTGCCGTTTAACGACTTGAGGTGTCTGATCCAGACTAAAGTTTAAGAAGTGTTATTTGGGGTGTCACATCGAGTGTTTAATAGTAACAATAAAATAACTTACCGAAGTCATTAGTAATCCACGAGATGAATTTATTAAGTCTAATTAACCCATTATTAGCACATGTTTACTGTAGCATCATATTATCAAACCATAGGCTAATTAGGTTTAATAGATTCGTCTCGCAAAATAGTCTCAAACTGTGCATTTAGTTTTATAATTAGTCTATATTTAATACTCCAAATCAAACATCCGATATGATAGGGACTAAAAATTAGAAGGGGAAACCAAACACCTCAACGCCAAAAGGCTAACGTCCCTTTCATGATAATGTCATCCACAGTAGGACATGTGTTGTGCTGACAATTCTCCGCTTTTGCGGCGAAAATCTGAATTTTGTTTCATCTATTAAATTACAACTGAAGCATGTAAATTTCACCGTTGGCCAAACTGTACTTACTTTTTCCCGTACCACCGTATATAGGAATACACACTCACTCCTATAAACACATTTACATAAGTAAACGGTACACCTAATCTCTATAAGTATATGAACACAGACTCACGCCTGTAAATACATGTACGTATACCTAATCTTTGTGAGCACTTTCAAAAAAAAAAGAGTCCACAACTGACGAAGGCCTCATAGGCGTCTCATAGTCGACGGGCATATGTCACATATCACTGAAAGAACAACAACCAGATATGTGGTTCTATCTCTATCGCGACCTGTTTTGAAGACGGTGAATTGCATCAACAATGGCTAGAACATTTAACTTCTTTCCAAGTTTTCTCAAATTAAAGAGACTTCATTGTAAGGCCTCCTTTGAAACGGGTTAATTTTTCCTATTTCATGTGTTTTCTTGTAAAAAATGAACTAATTTATGTGAAATTCTTGTGTTTCAGAAGGGTCCTAAATTTCTTTTGAAAAAAAAAGCTTAGTTCCAAGTTTCTAATCAAAAGTCATACACCATCTAAGAAATATTTTTGTCATAGATCACACATATTGATGGAATGCTAGGTGGCCAAGAGGCACTAGACTCTACTGGCTGCGAAAATATCCAGTCGTGCTGTGACAACCGGCGGAATGAAAGCTCAAGACGACAAAAGGTCGGTTGCAGTTAGCCGATTAATGCCGAAAGGGGCAGCAGCGAGTGACTGCACGTAATTGTGCTGGTCCTGTTTCTTTGGAGGCTTCAAGGGGCAGGAAGGAAGGCTGGAACGTTCTGGAATCACAGCACCCGGAGGATAAGGCCAACACCAACCGACCAACCTCTTGTGCTCCAATGGAGTGCTCCCAACAAAGAAACTCTTGAGGATAAGGCGAAGAGTGGGACGTGCCGCAAAAGGCAACCGTTGGTTGCCGCCAGTTTGATTACCATATACTCATCCACCCCAATCAACCAGACAGAAAAAAGGTTAACAAGGGCCGCTACTAGTTCGGTGAAATCCCAGCCGACCCGTCCCATTCGCTTCTCTTATAATCTGTATTTTTTAACTTGTTTTTTTTAACTTGGAACAATAGTTTTCTCTCACAACAAATCAGTCGGAACAATATTTCGACTTGTTTTTCCAACGAACGAGGCCACAAATCAAGCTCTCAAATTGTGGCATTTCCACCTGCACATTTGGGTTGTCTCAAACAGGGTTTGCAAATTTCATTAATTTCGGTGGTGGCCAAAATTTTCGAAATACCTAAATTAAAAACCCTAGTCTCAGATCATGCACTTTTAGTGATAACTTACTTACCCGAGCAAACTATTTTTTACCCTTCTCTAGGGATAAATAAGTGACCTGAATTTGAGGTTGTCTGAAGTATGTCATTCTACATTTTGATTACAAAATATTTTTCGTATGTTCAATTTAGACCAGAAATTAATGGTACAGCAAGTTAAGTTAAAATTACACTCCATCTAAATACAAGAGGCAATCTATCTTTTCTCCATTAATTTGACTATATATCATTTTTTATGTAAATATTTGGGTAAATAAATTCAACAGACCTACAAGGCGTGCTCAAAATACATTCCGCTTACAAAAATGATTGTATTGTTTCGGGTTTATTATTAGTAAACATTATTGCCATGCAAACGCCTGTACCAGTAGTTCTAAAACAGTTGGTGTTTCCTCGGTTTTGAGTGCGCCTGCGGTAGCCGGGTAGGGTTAGATTGTGTGAGCTCCAGCTGATGGACATTTAGTTCGAAAGCAACTAATTTATAGTATTAGTAAAGTGCCAATCATCTTCAAACAATCCAGCAATTACCCAGTGCTCCAGGCACACCCGTCACTCTCGGTCAACCGACTTTTTCACCAAACTGGGGGCCAAAACTCTAGGCGTGGACGGTTTGTTTTGTCCAAGCGTCCGCACTAGGCCGGCGCTGCGGACGCAGCTATCTCCCGGGCGTGACGCACTGCGCGCCGCCCCTCAGCTCCAGTAGCTTCCATCCATCCGAACGTTCCAGAAGGACACGTGTCGACTTCCACTGCCTCGCGTGACAGGCGCAAAAGTCAACGCGGTAGACCCCGTTGACTTTGAGGTGGCCTTTCCCGGCCGCTTCGCCCGTCGAACACGGCGAGATGATAACCATGGGCCCTGGCCGCACTAGTTAGTGCGAGTGCGCCACGGCTTGCACCTTTTCTTTTCTTTTTTTATCCCTCTCTTTTTTTTTTTGCTTTATGAAAATTATCACTCACGCAACACGGATCTTTTTTTCCCCTTCTGTCCCTTCTTTCTCACCTTTTTATCTTGCCGTTCAATCATTCATGCATTCGGGGTAAAAACCAGAAAAAAAAATGAAACCGGTAGCCGCTCCGCACCAAGGCGCGCTCGAGTGGCGGCGCCATTGTTTAGCTTATCCGGGGCAGGCGATGTGCCTCTTCGCTAATGATTCGTGTTTGTTTAACTTAAGAGAGAGATTATGTTAATCGATCTGATGTTAACACTGCTAATAGCGTCTAAAAATAACTACTGCTAATAGCAACTTAAGCTCTAGACCAAGTAGCACGCACAAAGCCAGTTATTATTAATAAGTATATAATATAGTATATGTACATACTTGATTGCCTTAGTTTGAAGACAAAGGTGTAACCAACTGATAACCACCACCAACGGCAGGCTGAATTCCGTCACAGAGTATTAGAACTTGTTTGTCACGGTTCATCCTTAGATGCTCCTCTAGAGGAGCTGGAGCATATGAAGAGAAGACACTTTTTTAGTTCTAGCTTATGACCTAAGAATGGCTCCAGCTCCTCTATTATTATAAAAAAAAAGACGGCTTCTCCTCATGAAATGTTTGGTGTTGTTTCTTCAACTCTTCCACAGAAGCTGCTTTCAGAGTCGGAGCTAGAGTTAAAGGCGTACCAAACATTCCCTTACTTGTTACGTGTGGTTTTGCTAATTTTGTTGCTTCAAGGTTAGAGTTGACCAAAGTATGATAACTTATTACTCC